TCTTTGAGGTCAGTTGTCATGGCCCTTGGCTCCTCCTGCCTCACATCTGTCACCTGCAGGCCTTGGGCTTGGCCTGCTGCTGGCCTTCCTCTGCTGACCACATTCTGCAGCACCTGCTCCCCCAGTAAAAATCTTGCCCTGGGACCTGCAGACGACCGGACACCCCCGCCTTCCCAGCAGCCCTCCTGCACAGCCCAGGGGGCCATCAATGGAAACTGTGCCCGACGGGCACCTCCAAAGGTCTTACCCGCCTGCCCTTGCCCCTCCCACGGAGCTCCTCGGAGGTGCTGCACCTTCATATGAGTGGCCCTCCCACCCCTCCCTGCTGAGGTTGCTGGGGAGGGAGACTGACAGGCCATAATGCAGCGCTTTGCCAAGCAGCGGAAGAGTGGCCAGGGAGCCCTGGGTTGCCAGTCTGCCTCCTGGGGCAGGGAATGGCAGTGAGGTGGTGGTGGCTATCACTGGTGCCTCAACCCCACCCCCCCCCAGGGTAGAAAGAGCTTGTGACCAACATCTGGCAGGATGGTCTTCAGTGTCTCGCTGGAGATTCAGAGCAGCTGAGATGGTCATCACCTGCCATCAAAAACCCAACTATTCTCCAACCCCATCAGGCAAGGGCTTGTGAGCAAAGGAACGGAGGTGGCATCTGCCTTATTAACGTGAGTTTTTCTAAACAATCTGCAGACCAAGTTGTGCAGCGCTGATGGGCAGCGAGGTAGATGAGAAACCCCAGCTGTGGTACCAACCCATGGAGTAGGAGCTCTGCTGCCAGGGAGAAGGGARCAGATGTGTCCAGCTGCCCTCAGGGTGGGTGTGGCTTCAGTACCCCTCCTTGTCGCCCATCCTCCCTGTCACTGTGGCCAGCTCCCTGGCTCGGGTCTTGGGAGATGTCCTATTCTGACGAGTGGCTGCACTGGGCCTGATTAGCCAGGCTGCCCCGGGTGTTCTTTGTTGATTTAATGGTTATCACTGTTGAAATAAAGTTGTCATAGGGCCTGAGGTGGTAAACCCTCCTGAATCCCTCTTTAAGTTGGATTCCTAGATGTGGGATTCACCTGAGGGTCACACATACTTGTCCTGCTCTGGAGGGAGAGTGGGTGGCCACATGTGGGAGAAACCTCACAGAGGGGTCCAGCCTACCTGGCCAGGGGCTTGCATCCTGTCTGGATTTTCACCTTCAGATCTGCTACCTTGGCTGGGAAGCGTGGCTGTCCCTTGGCCAGGGAGGGGGGGGGACTGCATTTGCTACTTCCCAGCTCGGACTGATGTGCTTGCACAGGGCTTCCAAAGGACAGCAGGGAGAAAGCTCCACCCAGGGAGGGTTTCACACCTGGACTACATTTATTTTGGATTCTTATATTAATTTCATTTCCACACTTGACTCACCGTCTTTCTTTGGATTCATCTGTTTTTGTCCTAAGATCTCATTCTGGTGACCCAGGCCCTCTTCACCACAGTGTAGCAGCTGCAGGAAGCAGCGAGAACCCGGCCCACAGGAACAGCCTGTGAAGGCTCAYAAGCCACCAGCCCCATGGGCAGCTGCACTCCTCACAAAGGGGACCTTGTTTCAAAATGGAAAATGTTTAGAAGTGTGTCTTCCTCCTCTTGATGTGCTTCCAGCACAGCTGACCAGTGGTCTGTCCTTCCCTCTGCCAAAGGGCTGAGGTCTGGTCCTGGGTGGCAGCCTGTCGGCAGGCTTCCCTTGGGTACCAGAGCTTCCAGGCCAAGCCCTCCCCTGCCAGCCTTCTCGCCCACTCAGAGCCCCAGAAGGAAATAGGTGAAAAGTTTCTGGAAGGATGATATATCAGGGGTTGTTTTCTTTCTTGTTTTTTATTTTTAAGTATAGTTACTTTTCAAAATAAGGAATAATTCTGGAGTTTTGAGTTTTCTTTAAGTAGATAGGTAAGTGCACTACTTGAAAGTATCATCAATAGAATAGAAAATCTTTAGGTAAGTGATTTTAAAATGGAATTTGGGGGAGCAGGATRCTCCTCTAATCCAAGCAGCTCGGGACTGGGCAGGAGGACAGGTTCCAGGCCAGCCTGGGTGACTTAGTGAGGCTCTGGCTCAAAGTACTATTTAAGAAGGGCTGGGGATGTGGCTCCGTGGTAGAGCACTCACCTAGAATGCATGAAGCCTGGGTTCTATTCCCAGTAACTCAAAATACTTCCCCCAAATTCATTTATTTAATCTTGAATGTAGATAGGAAAGTCATAATAAAATTAACCGGAACTTTGATATAATTGTTGGCCATCCAGTGAAAATTGTCTTTAAGGTCGAGGGCAAGAATGGGGGGGGGCATTCTGGGTGGAAGCACTCTGCTCTGGGGTGGGATCGGGGGTCAGCAGGCCTGTCCTGAAGCCCACGATGGCTTCAGAGCTGGGAGGCAGGGCAGCGCTGGAGGCCCAACGTGCCGTGCTCTCCCTAACAGGACACACCCCAGCTGGCACAGGGTCCTGGGGTGACTGCAGGTCACAGAACAAGAGCAAGACCTCTGCTCTCTTGTCCCCTGACAAGGCGGGTTGGCTGGGAAGGGGATGGATGTGACAAAGCTGTTCATGCAGCGCCACCTCTACAGGACACTGGCACCCACAGCCACTAGGAGCAAGCCAAGTCCTGCTCACTGGGACATGGCGCCTGACCACAGGTTTGTATTTTAGGGAATTTGAAAATCTCCCCAAAGATTTGGAGAAACACATCCTGGCTATGTGGGTGAGGGGGAAAGAAGCCGTCCTGGCACCACCCAGCGAGCCCCTAGCCAGGATGGAAGGCACAGCCGGTCATGGGAGACTGTGTGGCCCTCTGGGGCATCAGATGTGGCCTCACTGCCTTGGAACCACATGGCAGCGCCTGGCTACCGTGTGYTGGTTTCAGCTCTTAGTTCAAACCATTCCTTGTACCTGGAAAATAGTAAGTAGGGCTCTTGGGGAAATCCTGTGTATGGGAAGTTGCCTCCTGTCGTGCTCAGCTCCCAAGTGGCCAATCCCAAGTGGCCAAGGAACAGCAGGACTCCACTGACTGGCTTCTCCTCGGCCCTCTGCCAGCAGGAGCATCTCCCACCTGACTGTGGCTGTACCTTGGTGCACCAGTGCCAGGACCCCTGTCCAGGGAAAGGGCCCTAGCACTCAATGGGGACCCCTGTCCATGGAAAGGGCACCAGCACTCGATGGGGACCCCAAAATGTAAGTCAGCATTACCTTTGGAAGAAAGTCCCAGAAAAGTGAGGCTCGAGCGTCTTCCCGAGCATGGAGGAGAGAGGACTTTGCCTGTCGTGCCATGACGGGAAATGTCCACACAGACGGTCAACAGCCTTGTACAAAATAACAAATTTTATTTCTAGAAAATATTTTACACTAGCTGTACACATGCACACACCCACACAGTACTTTACCACACATAGAGCAATTTCCTTTGAATAAATCTACTACATACTATTATGTTACAATTTACAAGATAGTTTTGAAGACACAATGGGGAAAGCTTTGTCATTCATTTATAAACCTTCCATAAATTACAAAAGAAAGGCAGTCTGAAAAGTATGTATAAAGAGTAAAAACAATTTACAAGTGGACAAGAATTACAAAATAGTAACCATCAAATACACCTGCCAGCAACTGGGTAAGTCTTGTTGAAATGCCAATGATGGGGGGACCGGCTATTCCGGGCAGGGGGAAGGTGGCTTTTTCTGGTGTGGCCAGTGGGTGGGGTGGGTGCTGTATGTGTGTGCAGCTCCCTGTCGAGGGCTTGGGTGTGGCCTTTTGACAAATAGTGTAACAGAAACATGCCACAATATAACACTGGAAGCCAATATCGCCACTTTCTGGCAGGTCGGACACTAGTGCTTTTCCAGACAAAGGAGCTTTCCTGCCCTGGCTCTGGGATGCCTGGCTCTGGGATGCCTGCTGGGTGGGCGTTGTGTTCTCGGGCTTGCCGGGAAAGCCTGGGACAGGACCTGAAGCTACACAGCTATGGGSCTGGCCATCAGGCCAGGGTGGGGGTGCAGACCAGGAACGACAACACAGACCAGTAGACAATGCGGTTTTATTGGACATACAGACCATGTGCGTTCATAAGGCAGAACATCAAGGCGAGTCAGACGAGGAAAGTGACAGTTATGGTTATGAGGAAAGCGCTTTGGACGGGAGGAGAGTTGGACCTCGTTCCTCTAAGGATAGATGACAAATGCACAGAGCTGGGTTACAGGTGGGCAGCGGGCGGCCCAGGGCCCTGCTTGGCAGCAGGACACCCGCCCCGCTTCMCAAGCCAGACTCAGGCCGGGAAAGGGGGCGACAGCCCCTCTGCTCCCGCGGTGGCTTAGGGTGGTGGTGGTGCAAGAGCATTTCTCTACTGGTGTCGGGAGGAGATTGTGTTTTAGGAAGTGCTTGAGTCGTGAGAACCCTAGTTTGGAATCAAAGAGAATCACAGGGACTCGGCGGCTGTCCACAGCACAGGGGTCATTTCACCGCGCCCAGCCTCGCCAGCAGCGTCTTGCCTTTGGAGAGAAGCCCCCTTTTCTTTCTTGAGGACATTTCCCTGCCTTTCCCGGGACCACCAGAACCCATAGATGACGTAGGTGACCCCGAATGGAGATGGGCTGTGGGGGATGGAGCTCTCCTTGTTGGCCCTGAACCCTCAGGAGGAACCTAGTAGGTACATTGTGACAGTTTGAGTGCGTGAGCGCCAACAATAGCCATTCACTCGGTACCGCGCGCCGCCCCGGCTCCCGCGCTGCCTTCAGTCTGCATGTGCTATGAGCGGCACACGCCCRCTCCCAGGGCACCCTGACAGGTCTGGCGTGGTTAGCCTCCTGTGTCTGCACTGGGAGAGGGTGGCCACCGCTTTGGTAAACAAAGCTGGGTCACATTGACCGAATTCAGACTAAAAGCAGGGAAGTGCTTTAAATGAGATTGATAGCAAAGTTGGCCAAGTACCCATCAGTCATCTTAAAAACAAAAGTTCTTACAGGGAGTTTGGGTGCATTTGGAAACTACTTGGTTATATAAAACCCTGATGCTGTTGAGTGCGTTCTTGGATTAGTTAGGATACTGTAGAAACATTGGAGATGGCACACTGGTTGAAAGAAAAAAAACTAAAATGAACCTTAATTACAATCAAAGAAAGCTTAAAGGCCCTTATTTATGCTTCTATTGTTCGCACATAATTGCACGTCTGTCACCGGCATATGGCCTGTGGAGTGTTTCTATAGACTCCAGGTGCTTATCAACCGTGCTTAGGARGGCGGGGCTTTGTTCCAATGTGCCAGGTGGCAACTTTGACTTGTGACTTTCTGCGGCTGGGTGCATGCCTGGGATTGCATGACTCCTTCCCCAACCTCTCCAGAGCAGACCCCACTAAGTAGGCCTCACTGTGCAGCAGGAAAAGGACAGGAGCCAAGGGCTTCAAGCTTGCTTGGATTCAGAATCAAGGTCTAGCCCTCATGGAAACACCTAGGGATGCATCCCAAAGCACACCTGAAGTTGCGTCTCCTGCCCCCAGTGCAACCCTCGGAGCTGCACGTCCCTGGAACGTGGTATTGCATTGGTACCCAGGCCTGGCTGCGTCTGTGCCGACGCTTGCTCCTCAGTGGAGGTGTGGTCTCTGGCGCTCAGGCCAGAGCCCGCACCACCCCTGTGTTCACCACTCATCTACTTGATCTTGAACTAGAGGTGTTTGTTTTTGGTTTTATTTTTAGGAAAAATCCTATGGTAAACGTACTGGTTAGCTTGTGCTTTTTCCAAGGGTGGCTAACAATGCAATATGCAGCTTTGAGGAAGAGCAGACGTTGGAATTCTATGTAAACAGACAACTGGCTTGTAAGAAATATGTTCCCAATGTCGGCCTTTCAAATGCTCTTAATGAAAATAGCAGGAAATGATCATTAAAGCTGATTGGTTTCACTACAAATTCAGTTGTTTACAACTGAGGCCGAGGGATGTGCTAGCACTTTAGGTCCAGTGTTTTTTGAGACATATTTCTTTCCTCTCTAGGCCACAGTGAAGCTTAAGTCTACCGCACTGGTCCGTTAGGTAGCTTAAGTCGGCATCTCGCTAGGTGTCTCCGGCTGCTCACTTACGTGAAGGCTACATGCCTGATTAGGGTGTGAAATGAACGCTCTTCTTCGGTGTCCAAGCAGATGACAAAGAAATAAAGATATAGACGTAAAATATGACAGATAAGAACTCGCGGTGATGRTGTAAAGTAAAGATGAGACACTAAATGTGAATGCGGCCTCTGAGCGGATGTGCTGCAGTGGCCTCTGACCCTCCCTAGGAGGCCTGGGCTCCTGACCAGGGCGGGCAACCGTCCCTGTCCCGGCCTCACTCCAGCAACTGAAATGTGCACCTGTCGTGTCGGGCAGGGTCGTCCTGGGGTCAAGGTGGACCCTTGGGAACTTCAGGGGTCTTTTGTGTGATATAAGGTTTAAGATCAAGCACTGATAGGCCCGACCCCACGGAGGGGCAGAGAGGAAGGCATTCAGGGCGTGTGCTTTTGGCCCAAGATGCAGAAACATGAATGATCATCCACACATGGCAGGGGCGGGGCCCAAGAGGCTGGGGGGGGGGGTGCTTACCCTTTTGGCCTTGGAGCGCGGGGGTGCGTCTTGAGAGTAGGGGGACGGGGCGTCGGAGAGGTAGACTTCCACGTCCTCAGGCACTTCCTCCAGGAAGTTGGAAGGCACCAGGCCTTTCAGCCCATTGAGCTCCCCCTGGAAGCAGAGGCGGGGAGGTCAGAAGAACCACCTTGCCCCCAGACCCCCTTCTTACTCTCATGAGGGGAGCACGGCCCACAGGACAGCAAGATGGGTTCATCCTTGTCAATAGTGGCCTCTCCCAGGGACAGCCTTAGTAAGAGCTCAATGCAGGGTCGTCTTCCAGAGAGGTCTGGAGGAGTGGGCCTGAGCTGGCCCTCAGGTCTGCTTGTCTCCCTCAGTGGGTCTCCAGCCTGGCTGGCCCTGGGGCCCCTCAGGAGCCTGCAGTGTCCCACAGCTCAGAAACACTGACCCAGGCTGAGGACATGTCCCTTGGGAGCAGAGCAGGAAGAGTGAGGGCCAGGCTTACCCTCCCTCCCACAGGTGAATGTGTTCTCAGACTCAGGCCACAAGGCAGGCGGGAGTCTGCAYGCATCTCCTCAGGTGGCTGCTCCAGAGGGGCACCCGTCCTTCCAGGCCCTTCTCCTCTGACATACCTATGCATGTGTCCGGCTACTCGCTGGACACCAGGACATAGGGCTGGGAGCCTACTTGTCACTTCTCCCAGTACCTCCAAACACCAACCTGCCCTGCAAGTGCCGAAACTCAGTTCAGAACAGTGTGGTGGCCCCAGCACTGAGGGGACTGAGGCAGGAGAACCAMTCGAGGCCAGCATGGGCAACARAGCCAGACCCCATCTTAAAAGGATGGTCTCTACAACATGGAGCTCTGCTTCCTCACGAGACAGAAGTGGCCCTGCTGTGTGGAGGTTGAAAGCTTCTGTCCATGCAAAGACACAGTTGATAGCAACAGGCCATCTGAAGGTCCAATTCTGTGCACACACTTGAACTAATGGAAGGTGTGTTTTCACACAGGTGTGTACCTTTTTAAAAATCAGCTCAAGAACCAGAAAAGCAAACGAAGCTTGTAAACTACATTCCTCAAGAGACAGTGGACCTAACAGATTTTTAAGCAGAATCTAATCTTCTTCTAGTAATAGTTTTTCCAATGTCAATCTGTTTCAGAGCCCAGGAAAAGAGAAAAGGGAAGCTCTTTAACTCAATCAGTAACTCTAGAATAATCCTGAAAATAAAGGCCACAGCAGAGGGAGCACAGACATAACTTGTGAAGAAAATGCCAGAAGATCAAATCCAATGCTTTAAAAATAACCATATACCCCTAGGTGACCATGGGCTCTTCAGGGAGGAGGTGAACCCTACCCCTAGCAGCCCTTCCCTTCTCTCCCTGGGGGAATATTAGAGAAATAACACAGGGGCAGGAAAGGAAGGCACCCAGCATGTGAGGTGGCAGGGGGCGGGTCGTGAGAGGTCCTGTGGATCTGGACTGCCCACAGGTCAGCTGCAGGGCAGGTGGGGAGCACTAAGACCTTGGGGATCTTATCCACCTATTGAGTTCTGCTTATTGGTTTCTTACTTTCTCTGTAAGATTAATTTACCACCTACAAATAGATAGTCTAGAAAACTAAATTATTATGTAAATGTTTGGATGGTGACAATTTTAAAATGTCAGAAAATAGAATGTTTTTATTTTGTCTATGTTTAGATACATGGAAAATACCATTATTAGCAAACAAGAAGCAGTGAAGAGCCAGCTTTTCTGTTACGTGCAAGTGGGGCAGGCTCTCCAGCTCCTAGTAACACTAACATATGCGTCTTGCCTGAAAGTGATGAGAGAAAGGGAAGACAGGCTGTAAGAGGCACAAAGTAAATGAGGAGGTGCTTGTTTTAAATTGTAGATGGACAAGATATCTTTCTTTTTTTATGCAGTGCTGAGAATTGAACCCAGGGCCTCACATGTGGTAGACAAATGCTCTACCACTGAGCCACAACCCCGGCCCAGAGGTGGTGCTTCTTGATTAGAAACACTTACATAATAAAATCCATCTTCATCGATTTCACCAAAAACAGTGATAATATCTCCCGTGCAAAACGTAAGTTCAGCCTACAGAGAGAACATAAAATGCACAGCATCTTGTTACAGGAAGTTGTTTTTGAAAACAAGTGGCTCATATTACCGAGAACCATCCTTCAATCACACAAGGAAGCCAAGTACAAAGCTAATGGAGGATCCTGCTCAGTCTTCTAGAAAGTTCTACACCTAGAAAAAAATGTCTGCAGGGCTTTGGTTCCTGGATGACTTTCAAGAGCACTTCCTTCCCCACTGGTGATACAGCTTTAAAGCTGGCCATATGGCCCTGAGGACTGATTGTGGGGCACTCCTGTGAGCAAGGGTGGCCACACAGACACCTCGCTGAGCATCAAGACTCCTGCTCCATGACGGACGGAACTCAGTGCCTGTGTGCATCAGCCCAGAGACAAACATGCTAGTCACAGGCCCCTGTCCTTAGGAATCAACCGTCTCACATGTTCTGACCCCAGAAATGGGGACCAGAGGGACAAGCCCAGTWGGGGATACCAAAAATGAGTAAATACATCAAGATTCAACTTCTAAACACGAAGGTGAGGAATCAGACTGTGCCTGGTGTGGGGCGGGACCCGGACCTGTGCTTCCTTCGCAGGGCAGATCCCACAGGATGTGCTTTCCCGTAGCTTGGCCTCAGCTCAGTGGACACATGCACCTTTTCTTTCTTTCCTAAAGGAAATGTGCACCCTAAATTGCCATTTGGGGATGGCACAGGGGTACCTGGCCCTGGGCTGGGGTTTGTCAAGCAGAGCAGCCCCCTTCATTCCAGCACCTTCAGCGAATGCCAGGAGCCGCAGTGTCCCCAGGCCCACTCGGGCCAGGCGTCCTGCTGCACTCACACCTGTGAGGAAGCGTGGTGCACACACCTGGCACCCTGACAGAGGAGTTCTGTGGCATCCATCACTGTGAATGTGGCTCTTAACAGGGGCACACAGCAGGGCTGTGCCAGGTGGGTGGAGCCACACACTGGCTTTCACCTTGTACTGGGCACAGCACTGTGAAACACGGGCACTGATGATTACCCTCTGGAATTCCCTGTGGACCACAGTTGAGCATGGGCAAAGGGGTCTGCCGTAACCTGGGGCTGCTAGGGTCAGGAAGGACTATGGTGGCTATGGAGGACGACAGTGTCCTGGGGGTCTTGTGCGTCTATGGGGGTGTCTGTAGTTATAGGGGCTATTATGGTTATGGGGCCTACTGTGGTTATAAGGGCTATGGTGACTATAAGGGCTACTGTGGCTATGGAGTTTGCAGAGGCTAGGGGGCTAGAGTGGCCTTGTAAACTGCTGTGGCTATGGGGCAACTGTGCTTAGGGGGCTACCATGGCTGTGGGGACTACCATGCTATGGGGTCTGCTGTGGCTATGACAGCTATAGTAGCCTTGCAAGTTACTGTGGCCTTGCAAGTTACTTGTGACCCACTTGGCCATGGGGTCTGCTGTGGCTCTGAGGCCACTGTRGTTATTGAGTTACTGACGCTACAGGGGCTGCTGTGGTTATGGGATCTACAGGGGTTCTAGTGACCTTCTGGGCTACTTGTCTACGGGGTCTGCTGTGTCCATCCAGTCTGTTGTGGCTATGGGCACTACAGTGGGTTGGGGGTGTTGTGGCTATGAATTCTGACATCTCTCATTGGGGAACCTGTGGTGATGGAGTTGGCTGATCATCTCTGTTGGCTTCTGTGGTCATGGAGCTAAGGTGCCTATGGAGCTACAGTGATTATGGAGTCTGCTGCGGCTATGAGGCTTCCAGGCCTACAGGGGTCTATTGTGGCCTGCTGTGGCTCTAGAGCCTATTATGGCTATGGGACACTCTGTCTGTAGGGGCTACTGTGTCAATAGGGTCTGACATAACTGTGGGGTTTGCTGTATGTTTTCCTTAAGAACATCGTGGCTTCTCTTGTCTGTTGTTCCTACATTTGCCCATCTGGCTTGGTTGCCCTGCCTTTGGTGGCTCTTGTAGACATGGAAGTCTGTGGCTGGTGTCCCTATTGGAGGGGCAGGTGACCTCCTGACCCTGTGCATAGTGCTGGCCCTACCTCGACGTCCACGTTGGGCGAGCTCTCCCGGGGATCATAGTCGTACAGAGCCACCACTCTTCTTGTGGACACGGGGCGCTGCCTGCTGCTTCTTCTACTTCTCTCTGCAAGCCACAGAGGAAGAAGAAATCTGTCACGATGTCACCTCAGAACACCTGCTAGCACAATGTTCCACAGTGTTGGGAGGGCATCTTAGCAGGTGTGTCCCCGCATCTCACTGGCCCATGGGACCACACCCTCTGGGGCCCAGTCCTGGAGCTGTCCTCTTCAAGCAGTCCAGCATGCCACCCTTGTCCTGGACCCACTCCTTCTACTTTGGCTCTAGGGTGGGTGCTCCTGGCAGGAGCCACCTTGGGAGTGAGTCCAGTGTCATGGCCAGCTCGGGATGGGGAGGCTCAGAGGGCAGAGGGAAGGCTGGAGGCTGCTCTGGGGAAGACCCACAAGCTCAGCACAACCAAGTTAGAAGTTGGCCGTCCTCCAAGGATGGCTTTGCCAGTGTCATTGGGCCAGTGTACATCTCGGCTCGGTTCCCTTGTCCAGCAGCATGTGGGAGAAGGGAAAAGACAGACATCTGACATCATGATGTCACAGACCAAGTGAGTCCCTCCATAGAGCGCCTGCTAGACTGGCTCGGGGAGGGTGGGGCCATCCTGTCTCTGCCAGAGTCATGGGTAAGCCAGGGAAGAAGACCACGACCCTGAGAGGGAGCCCGGGCCTCACGCTCAGCCTCAACTATTGGGGGGGCCATCTTGAGGCCATGAAAACAGATTCAACCTTTTTTGGCATTAATTTTGTGATCATCCTTAAAATTATGTATGATCTTTGGACCATTGAATTCTGATTTAGAAGTTAATTCAGAAGTTGTGAATTTTCAAACCTTAAATTCAGATGGCATCAAATGGACCTTTCTCTCCACAGCTGTGTGGACCAAGGGAGGCCTTTCAACCAGGGGAAGAGGACGGAGCATGGTGCGCTGCCCTCCCACTTGCTGGCCGTAGCCTTGCCCACTCCTCTATGCTGCTGCAGCCTGGCTCCCAGGCAGGGAGGAGGGAGGTATGCCCAGACTGATGGGCAAGTCCCTCACAGGCCTTTGGATGAGCAAACCCAGCAGAGGATGAGAGGCCCAGACTCCCTGTGCTTAGAAATGCACCATGGACAGGCTGACCCTGGTGCCCCACCTAGAACAGCTGCTCCTCTGCTTCCTGGTGTGACCTGTGAACATGAGCTTTCATGGGGTCCTGGCTGCTGAGAAGAATACCACAGGCTCCGGGCTTTACAGGCATAAGACCTAAACCGCAGGGGGAGGGAGGGGAGCAGCCGGCAGGGTGCACTTCCTCTCCAGAGGGCCACCTGTGTGTGCACAGGTATTGGGGAGCATGTGTGTCCCTCGAGCAGGCAGCACCACTGCGACCCTGGTTTGTAGAGTGGGTTCTGCCCAAGAAAAATCGGCATGATGGCCCCGAGGCCTGGGCACGTCCAGTAGTGCGTGGCTGCCCCCAGCCTGAGGCCATACAGGGCCGCACTCACCTATTTTCTCCACGGGCGTGCTCAGGGGCAGGAAGCCTTGTCTTAGCAGCTGGTCAGTCATCTCCTCGTCATCAGCTTGGATCTCGGAGACCATGTTGCAGGGAATGAGGCCRAGCCGGGCGCAGGTCTCCCCTCGGTAGAAGCCATCTGCGTCTTTGTCTCCGTAGACCTGGAGCATGGAGAGGCAGAGCACCTGTCGGGGTGGCCCAGAAATGCCCCAGCCCCCGCACCACRTCACCTAAGACAACCCCACACACACGCTGGACCCCAGATGCAGTGTCCCCTCCAGGTTTGGACAGCGCCTGAGCCCCCCGGGGGAGTGTGCACTGGAGGCCCTCTGCGTGGAAGGACCAGGGAGGGGTGGAGCCAGGCAAGCAGGGCCCTCCCCTCTCACTGGTCCTGCAGATCCACACTGCTCCCCTCCTCTTCTCCAGAACCGGAGTGGGAATGGCACACCCTGCGTCTGCTTGCTGGGGCAGGTCCTCTGCCTGCCTCGGCCTCCTCCCCCTCCCTCCCACTACTCTGCCCTTGGGTTAGGCCTTGTGTACTGCAAAGTCCCAAACTTTGGGCCTGTGGTTTGTTTCTCAGCTGCCCTGGGCTGAGGATCTAGAGCTCAGGCACGGGAGGCTGGTGTGTGTGGGAACCACCGGCAGCAGGCGCTGGTGAGTGCTTCATGTTGTTTTGACTCTGTTGATCAGTCTAATAAAAGACCCAGTGATACTTTTCTTCTGGTTTCGAGTGTCATCTAAACTAAATGTGGGCTCAGACTAGCCTCCAGCAGGCAGGCGGCTTGGAAAACCCCCCGTGCACCGGCATATGCACTCCTCCAAGGCAACTAGTGGGGCCGTCCCCTCTGCCCAGGTGAAGCAGACAGGGCCTRCCCAATGTGCAAGGCTGCCACAGGCCGGCCAGCCTTCCGATGGCCCCAAAGAGTCCAAAGGCCACTGCCCAGGGCTGGTCAGCTCATGGCTGGCTCTGGGCCGCGCCCACCTCAGCAGCACCCAACTGTGCAGCCAGCAGACTCCCCACCTTGATGATCTGTCCTTCCTTGAAGGGAAGTTCCTCCTCTGCAGCGTCAGGGTTCGGGGACATGGTGAGTGGGTCATAGTCAAACAGAGCCACAAAGATGCGGGCTGGGGGCTCCTCGGCTCCAGGGTCCGTCTCCGACTCCTCGTAGAAGTCTGGAGAGAGGCGGTCGCGCCCGGCGTAATCATCTGGGGGGATGTGGTGGTAAAGCAGAGGCCGGTGACCACCCTGCAACTCGGGACACGACTACACATGATGTGGGGCTCAGCCGGGGTGGGGTGGCCAGGCCCTGGCTCCTGTCCTTTGAAAAATATTCTGGGCTCAACATGGAGGCAGCAAGGGACCTGGGGACGTCCAGAGGCATGGCAGAGGCGGTGGCTCTACCACACAGCCTCGCCCTGGCCAGAACACTGGTGTGGAAGCAGTGAGATGAAGGGGCTGCCTGGGTGGCTCCACCGGAGAGAACAGCCAGAGTGGGTGGGTGGTCACGTGTGCATCAGTGGCGACCCCTGTGGGGCAGCATGCTCCACGGGCCATGAGGCTAGTGCACAGAGCTTACAACACATCCAGAGCTTCGTCAGAGCTTGGTGTGGGGAACCCAGCTGCTCACTTCACTCAGTGGACAGCGGGCAGCAAGTGTATTCCTCGTTGTGACGGGACGATTCCCCAGCCCAAAGGGGTTCAGCTCTGTCCCCCTCCCAGCTTTTAAACTCAATCCTTTCTGAAGCATTACTAGGTATGCATATGTCTCACTAGAGGTCACTGGGTATGCAGGTGTCCACTCGTGTCTGCAGGGAACTGGCCCAGGACCATCCTGTGACACGGAAGTCCACTCAGGCCCCCATCAGCAGAGGCTGTGCTTGCACATAACCTATGCGCATCCTGGATACCCAAGTCACCGCCAGATGAGCATCGGTACTGGACACAGACAGATGGGGTTAGAGACGGACAGTCAGACAGGGAGACAAGGCACTGAGGGCCAGCGCTGTCCTGAGCATGATCTCATGAGAAGGTCTCAGAACATCAGCAGGAGAACAAACCAGACACCGAGATCAGCCACCAGGAAGGAGGGCCGGGAAAAGCTGGCCGACTGCTGTCCCCAGCACATGACAAGGGAAGTGTGACTGGAGGACCCAGGTRTGCAGAAAGGACAAGACAGGTAACAGGGAGAAGACCAAGTGAGCTGGCTTCTTCACCAGCAAAAAAATCTAGTTTAAAATTGGCATGGGCTGAGGCTGCAGGAGCCTGGACTTCAAATGCAGTGGGCATCCTGACTCACATGAGGGGCCTTTTAGGGTCCCCAGATCATCTATTTTTTGTCATTGTTTTTGTTTAGTTGTTTTGTTCTCTGTTGTCTTTTAAACATCCACCGGGCATTGTGGAGAGCCTCATCAGATGCCTCAGGGTGCTTAGGTGTGGAGTCAGGCAATGGTCTTGTTAAGCCACGACAGACAGTGTTCATTTGTCTTAATTTGGGGAAAGGGAATTCTGAAAGCCCTGGTATTTTCCATCAATTGTCAATCTGTTGCCCCTTAAATATATACTCAGGAAGCACGCAGCATACAGACCTAATGTCTTCTTTTCCTCTAAAAAAGAAAGCCCATGGCCTTGGACTAAAGATTTCTATAGTATTATCACAAGAACTGAGCAATCAAGGGTTGGAGGAAGTATGGTGGGCCCCTCACCCTGGGGCCACTGTCTGACCCCCATGCAGGTGAGGACCCCATTTGCCTGCTTCCTCTGGCCTTTGTGCCCTCGAACCTGTATGTATGGAGGCTACCAAGCAGGAGATAAGAGAGTGGGGATGGACCAGTGGGGAAGGGTGGTGGCCTAGGGAGGTGGGAGCACACCTGGGGTCACACTTGGCCTCTTATCCCCAAGCTTATGTCCGCTGCCAGTGCATCTTATGCACCCAGACATCTCTGCCACTGCAGGTGTGTGGGGTGCACCACCTCCCCAGCTCTGCCTCTGTCTCAGCCTTGTCCCTGAGCATCCCAAGAGCCGCTGCCCTCAGTCCCTCCAAGGCCACCTGGAAAGCCCACAGGAGACTGTCAGCAGGGAGAGGCTAGTGTAACCCGGAGGCTGGCGGGAGCTCTGAGAATGTGCAGAGGGTTTGCTGCCCTAGAGCGCCATGCCTACCTCCCTTTGCCATGGATGACCAAGAGTTCTCTGTGCTTGGTTGAAAATGTCCCCCTGAATATTATGTGAAATGTTCATATAGGAGACCCAGTAGGTGCATGTGGTGGGGAGAGGGAGGGAGAGAGAGACAGCCATCAAGCCACTAACCAATAGATGGGACCACCGTCGGCCGGGGCCTCTGAGGACCAGAGCCACCGTGGGAAAACCTCCTGCCCACATGATCTGCCCTGTCCACACGTCCGGCAGATGCTGGGTTTCCTAGAATCTGGAGACAAAACAACATGGCTGTCAGTCTTGCCAGTGTGGCAGGGGGAGAGCTATCAGCCAAATCAATCAAATCCGAAGCAGAAGCTCTAAAGGCAACTAAACTTAGCTTTTAACTGAAAGGTTAGCTGAAGGCCCAGGAGGAAACAGGCTGGCCGCCAGGCCCCTCCCMTGCACCAGAGTCACATCTGAAGCACCACAGTGGGTGGGGCAAAATGAGCCCTGGGCAGGGTCCGTTGCTCTACTGCCTCTGAAGCCACGTGTTTCGGACCTAATGACAGTGGCTTTCAGGACACTGACGCCTTCCACCACGAGCAGGCCTCGGCTGCCTCCGCACCCCTGCCCCAGGCTGCCACACAAGCAGGAAAGCTCTGCGGTTCCAAACGTCCCACCTGGGTAGACGTCGCAAGTGAGGTTTCCGAAAACTCAGACGGAGGCTTCTGTGTTGGGACTGGAAACTCACGGCCAGGGTCGGCCCCAGTCTGGAGAACTACGCTGCCCTGAAGAGGTGCCCTTCCCAGGGAGGCCCACCTCCAACTTGGACTAGAGTCAGAGGTGGTCGGAGGAAACCCCGCAAAGCCGAGCCCTCTGGGAAGGGCAGTGAGGCCTCTGGGGACAGGAGGAGGGGATGGTCTGCTCCTTGCTGCTGCAGTGTTGAGGGTGGGGCCCCAGCGTGGGTATCTCAGACCCAGGCCTGGCGCCATGCAGATGGCCCTCCACGCGCCCAAGGGACGTTCAGCATGACGGGAGCCAGGGCTCTGAACAGAGACGGAGGAAAGCCTTGAGTGGACTCCTAATCCAGAAGCCAACGAGCAAGGCCAGGCCCCAGGGCGGGGACGCGTCCATGGCTAGTGATGGAAACTGGTGGGCCCCGAGGGGACAAAGCAAAATAAAACTTAGAAATAATATGCAGAAATGAGTTGCTTTGATAACTGTTCTCATTTAGAAAAAACATGGATGAAGGCCAAAAAACAACTAAACCCCTTCCCCCAAAAAAGAAAAAAAAATCCTTCAGCAATATGTGGAGCCATAAATAAGTCCCTAAAAATCATTATGGAAAAAAAAATGTGCAAACTTTTGGACATAGTTCAGCTAACCCTTAATTAAAATTTAGATTCAGTTGTCCTTTAATCACAGCCGTGATCATCTCTGATTCCAGGAAGGAATCGTTACTCTAAAGCAAAGCAAAGAAATCTTCGGCATGGTCAAGCRATCGGAAGCGATGGGACTTAATAAATCAAAGGTGCAGGGACAACCAAGGAGAGCGGCCGAGAGACCCCAGGATGGACACCCCAAATTGGAACCAAACGAAAAGCCAACGGGGAATGAACAGGATTGGTTTGGCAAGCGCACGTGGAAAGACGTTGACTTCACACACCACAGGGCCGTCGGCCACTCTGGGGGGAGGCCGTGCGTGCTGGACAGCCGCCCTGCTGTCGGGCACAGCCAGGCCACTCCTCCAGACACCCCGAGAGTCTTCGTGCTCCGCGGCCTCGTCCCAGCTGTGCTGCCTGGGCACGGACCTCTCCGGGCGGGGCAGGGCATCATCGCTCCTGGCGACGTCACTGGGGTCCACCTGTTCCCCAAAGTCCTCTTCAATGCTGCTCTGCCGGGTCAGTGTCCGCCGCCGGGCCAGTAGAGGCCTYGGGCTTCTCCTACAGGGACAGTGACCGGGGCCTGGGCTGCACTGGGCTGTGGTGTTCCTGAAACTAAACCGAGACTCTTCTTCCTCACTGCCGCAGTCCAGGCCGCTGTCAGGGCTCCGGGTGGCCCAGCGGCTAAGCCGGCAGCCTCTGTCTTCCAGAAGGAGGTCCTCCACGGGGGCTCTGTGCTTGGCAGGGAGCCAGGAGGCCTGCGGAGCTGAGTGCTCCCAGCAGGGTGGGATGGGCCCTGGCACCATGGCCAGTAGGGCCCTGGCCCTGGGTGCCCCTGAGCCCTGCCGCAGCAGCGGCTCCCCGAGCTCTGCGTCCTCCTCGGCTACCTCGGGGATACTGCATAGCCTCTTACTGCGGTGGGGCTGCTGGGGGAACTCGGGCTGTCCCGGGCAGGCGCCTTCCGGGCTCCTGGGCTTATAGCACTCCTAAGGGCAGGGCGAGTGGCCAGCGGCAAACACGGGCGAGGCCGGAGGGAGAGAAAATACACAGTTAGTCTTGGCGAGGCGGGGCTCATGCCCGCGGGCTCTGTAGTGGAGCAGCAGTGGTGTCCATGCCCAGCAAAGGCAGGGACAGTGCACGGGAAAGCCAGCAGGCCATCGGGAGCAGATGCCATGCAGGTGAACCAGGAGAGAGGTGACAGCCCAGACGTGGAGGAGCAGGCAGGATATTCTCAGCCCCTGAGCTGTGTTCTACGTGGTAGGTGCCCAGAGTGTCGGGAGACCTGTGCCCACTGCCTGCAGCTGTGTCCTCAAAGACCCCAGGAAGCTGCAGCAGGTGCTGAGCATGCCCAGAGGTGGATCAGTATACCCAGAGATGGCTCAGCACTTCCAGAGGCGGCTTAGCGCCCCACGTGCCACAGCTCCCGGCTGCCCCCTGCCTTCCTTCCTGGCAATTGGACCTCCCCTCCTCCCCAAAGGCAGCTCAAGCGAAAGATTGTGAGGTCAGGCTCCTGGGGGCTTACACCCTCTCTGTGGCTAGGAACAGGCCAGGCACAGGCCTCATGCCCAGTCACTGCAGAGAACAGGGGTCCTCTGGCTGTGCCTGCATCCCCACGCCCAGGGGCTACTCCCAAGCACTAGTAGGACGCAGGCTCCATGTCTACATGACTTCTTCTCTCTGCTGGGGGTAGGGCCCCCACCTCGTGCCCTGCTGGAAGGCCTACACGTCCTGCTGCTGGGAATGCTGCTACCCATCTTCGCACTGGCTGCCCGCCTGGCCCTGCGGCACAGGTGCCCTGGACTCCCCAGCCGTAAGGCTCTGGGGTGCACAGAAGAGGCCTGTGCCCCACTGGGCTGTGGGCCCTTGAGCTGGGGTGTGGTGGGATGTTCCTGGCAGGGGGTCAAGTGTGCCAGGCACCGCTGCCCACCAGATGGTTGGGCATACTCTGCTTCTGCCCTTTGCTAATGCCATATGCCTGTGACAAACAGCAGGGTGAGGGGCCACCTCGGAGTACAGGGAGGTCACCAGTGACCTCCAGGCCAGCAGGGAGAGGGATGAGTGAGTGGGGCTCAGGCAGGGGACAGACATAGGCCTGACCTCGTCAGGAAGCCTGGCTGGGCAGCAGCCACTCACTGCCACGTGGAACCATGAGCCCCTGTGTCCAGATCCCCAACCCTATCTGGCAGTTTCCAAAGAGAATCCAGAAATCCAAACCTTTTTAGAAGGAGGACGGTCATGGAATGGGCACATGTAGCAAGCCTGCGGCCACCCTGCCTCCCCCCAACTGTGACATTTACCTAAAGCCCTGGCCATGGCTCTATGAGGGCCTCTCTGGGCCCTCTAGAGGGAGAAGCCTCCCAGCACCCTCTGCACCAACAGGAGAGGCCCCTTGAAGGTGTGGGACAGGGACACACCTCCCCAGCCACCTCCAGGTGCTCCCAGTGGGTCCTGCTCTGGGTGTGTGGGTGACTGGACAGCCGGGAGGTGCACCCATGGGAAGGCCAGTGTGAATCCTGCTGCGGGTTGGCCCTGGGCTGGGGGTGGGGTTGGGTGCTGGGAACCCCACGGGCCACCACCATGCAGGAGCTGCGCAGGGGTCCGACATCCCCCAGGGACCTTCAAGGGAGAGTGTCAGTTGGTCTTGTCTGCACGAGAAGCTGTCAAGTGGGCAGCTGGGTTGGACGTCGCCTTCTGCCTGCTACCCACTGTGCAGGGCCTGTGCACCTGGAGGAAGGTGGCTGTTGCCTGGGCAAGGCCCTTTCCATCCTTGACACCCCAGCGGTCCCACAGCCACCTGATCTGGGCCAGGAGCTGCCAGAGCGTAGCCCCGCCTACCCTGCCTCCTGCCTGGGGTGGAGCCCCAGGCCTAGGCCGTCTGCCTGCACTGCCCAGTGGACACCGTGCGTGAGCCAGAACTCGGGCCCAGCAGCAGCAGTGGTGGTAAACACCTGCCCAGATGGGGAAGACGGTGTGAACCAGGCATCACGGGCTGGAACCTCCTGGAGCAGCCTCCCTGTGCCTCCCGGATGGCCTCGCACAGGGACTGATCCCTGCTCCCTCCCAAGGGAGCCTCACCTATCCTTGGGGCCTTCTGTGATAGGTCCCAGGGCCATGCCCAGGCCAGCCCTTCCCTGGCCTCCACACAGGACCCACCCGGTTCCCCACTGGTGGCTCTGCACCCAGCCACACTGCCCCTGCCCCGGCGCTGACCCCGAGGGGGTTCTTGAGTGGATTCTGGTTCTCTGTGGACCAGTCAGAAGTCATCCTGTTCTGCTCAGTTCCTCCTGATCCCACTCCTGGCTCAGCTCTGGGTGCCGAGGGCTGCCAAGTGGACCCCCAAACTCCTGTACCCAGACCTCTTGGCAAAGAGGACAGAGCTCCAGGTACCTCCTGGATCAAAAGTTCACAGTGGGAAGAAGCAAGTCCATATCCGTGGGCTCTGGTGCAGGGCAAGGGCCCAGGGCCAGCCCGATGCCCAGCAAGGGGACAAGGTGAGCCACCTGGGACTGCAGGAGGGTGCTGTGCCCCCTCCGCTCCCCCACTCACCTTGAGAGCATTATGGGAGGTGCCGCTGGGCCGCCTCCTGCCCCCGTCCTCCAGCTGCATCTCTGAGGACAGCTCCTCCTCATCCTCCTCCATGATGTCCGAGAGGTCGGAGCCCCGGCTGCTCTCCGTGGGGTACTCGTCTCCATGGCAACAGGGGGGCTGCAGGCCAGAGGGGGGGTGCTGATGGGTGGATTCTCATGCCAGGACCCCTGCAGCGGGCCCAAGTCCCCTGTGGGCCCTCCCTCCTTTGTCACCTCTGTGGGGCTCACAGCCAGAGGCCTGTAGGAGTTGGTCATGGGCTGCTCCTTAGAGGTGAGGGGTGAGGCTGGATGTGGTCAATGCAATGGCCAATAGGAAGTCTGACTTTCCCCCTGGATCGTCACTGTTAAGCTGCTCCGAGGACTCCTAGTCCTGGGGTGGAGGGCCTGTGACCTCAGTCTACTCAGTAAGATGTAGTGGGAAGTCTCCTGGCCATCTATCCTTTCCTTCCTGCTTGGGGTGTCACCATATAAGGGTGTGATTGATGGAGCTATGGCAGCTACTTAGTAACTATAGGAGAAAGAGTGAAGGATCTAAGCAGAGCCCCTTTGCCACTGAGGCCGTATCAGCCCTGCACCCGGCTGCACGGGCTCCTGGGACACAGAGTGATTAAAGGTCTGTGATCCTAGAAGTCTGGGCCTCCTGTTCCTTCTGCTTAAACAAATGCAAACAGCATGATTGTAAGGCTGTAGATAAAGACCTGAGATGAGAAGCCAGTGCCTGGCTGACGGCCAGCAGCGAGCAGCAAGGCTGGGCTGGGCACACGGCGCCCTACTGCCCCCTCACTGTGGCAGTGGGTGGTCYTGGTGCCCCAGCCTCCGATTGAGTGGGCTCTGGCACGGGGCCTTGGGGTTCTCAGGCCCTCTGCGCGTCAGACACTGGAGGTGAACCCCGATAGGCGGGGGCGGGGGGGGGGGAGGATGTTTTGTTTTTCATCCCCTGTGGTGGCCAGCATGGAGCAGGTGTCCAGCCAACATGGCCCAATGGACAGAAGTGAACACAAACAGTAGGGTTTGTCTAAATCGAGACCAGCTAGTTATCAGTCCAGCCCTGGCCTGACCCAAGAAACTGCCCAGGACCAAGTTCCAGCACTGGGTGGAGCAGGGTGGGGCCTGGGCGAGGAGCAGGGGTGGGGCGGGGCAGGGCCAGGCCTCCTATTCAGGCTTTTGAAATTGTCCTGGAACGAGTTGTCCTCACTCAAACCCTGGTGGCCTGCTGCCTTGCAGGCTGGCATGGCCCCTTTCCCAGGGCCCTAGGGAGGTCCCCAGTCCCTGACATCCCCGGCAGCTGCCCAGGCTCACCGGCTTGCCCAGCTCGGAGCCCTTGAGGAAGTCGTCCACAGAGGCTCCCCTCCGCTTGAGCTCGGGGGAGGCAAAGCCGTCCTCCTCGTCAGAGCTGGCACAGCGCCCCAGGCTGCTCCGCTCGGGGAGGAGACTCCTTTTCTCTAGCTTGGAAAGAGAAGGGGACAAAGATGGGCTGGGGCTGTCATGAGGGCTGGGCCCAGTGATTAAAGTTGTCCAAGGCGGCTTCTGTGTCATGTGGGTGCCTCCCAGGGACACGCCTTCCATGCCGCAGACCCTGTAGCCACCCGAAGACAAACCCACCAAGAACCTGGGCCAACCACCCCAAAGCTGTTGCAGGGTCCACTTCCTGGTGTCTCCCCCAAGGACCCAGCTGGCCCCAGAGTCACCTCTCCCTCTGCTGGGGCAACTGCACCCAACAAGGACCCTCCACCCTCCTCTGGTCACCCTGCTGGCCTTACTGTGACCCGCGGGCGCAGTCGGAAGGCAGGAGCCTAGAGTTGTTGCCCAGCCTGTGGACCCAGCTGCGGGGCTCCCCTGGGCCTCTCGGGCTGGGCTGAGGCTGCCACATTGGCACTGCCCTAGGAGCCTGGCCCAAAGCTCCCGTCAGGTGGCTCTTGCACCCGGTACCCTGAGATGCCGTCCCCTCCACAGCCATAGAACACTCAGGAGCATCCCCAGGACAGTCTGGATTCCTGTGCTCTCCCTGCTAAGGCACTGGTAGGGGGCCTCTGCCCTCAGGCTGCCTCTGGGCTCTGTGCCCTGGAAGTGAGCTCCCTGGCTCACCTTCGATGCTTGGCGCTGACCTGGGGACTGGCCCTTCCTGGGCTCTCTGACCTGGGGCTGCCCAGAGGTGGGCTACGGGGGGGTGTCCCACCACAGGCACCAACACCCAGGGTCACATAGGCCCACCTGGCATGCTGAGGCCTGCCCATGGCCCCCATTCCTCCTTGAAAGAGAAAGTGGGGATCACCCCAAACACCGGGACCCTGGTAGGTGGTGCCTGGGAGAGGAGGCTGCCACCTGAGGTCACGTGTCCCAGTGCACATCATGTGGAACACGGACCAGCCACAGCCCAGTACCCCGTGGCCCAGACTACACCTAAAGGTGCAAGCAAATGTGCCCGCGCACAGGTGCATCAGTGTGCCTGTCCACTGGGGATGCAGACACACACCCATGTGGAGCCCACGCACTTATAGGTGTGTGCGCACACACATACACACCTGGGACTCTGAAATGGTTGAGCCAAGAGAGCATCCAGTTAGACAATAGGGCCCCAGCCATGTCCAGCGAGCGGTTGAAGCCCCTAACCCAGAACCAAGCCTGTCTGGGTTTGTCAGAGGCTCTTTCTCCGACAGATAGGCACCTGGCACCTGGTGATCCATGGCTACACTGTAACACACTGTGACTGAGGATCAGGCACAGATGCCCGAAGGCTGACGGGGCCTCTCCTCCTGCACCTGTGGCCAGGCTCTGGGTGCTCCTGGCCTTGCTGTCTCTGCCTGCAGCCTGGACGCAATGCACCTTGGGAGCAGAGGGACAAGCCATCAGACCCCACTTACCCTGCTGCTCTCGGCCACCCTCTGTGCAGCCTCACGGGCCATGGCCTTGGCAACGGTGGTGGACACCGGGGCCCCCTGCGGCTGTGGGAGGATGCGGCTGGGAGAAGGCGACCGCCGCCCAGGGCCGGAGCCTTGCAGGTCAGGCGGCTCCAGCATGTGCCCGTGCACCGGGGCGGGGGTGCGGCTCTGCTCCCAGGGCTCCTCCACCTTGGTGTGGGGACACAGGGGCTTGTCTTTGGTGTCGGGGGCACTTGGTAATGGCTTCGGTGGGGGCGCAGCTCTTGGGTGGGGGGTTGGAGGCACCAGGAGGTCGAGGGGGATGGCAGCAAACACGGAGTCCACGGACTCGCCCTGGGCAGAGAGGGTCCGCACTGTCACGGCCTTGGCCTCCAAGCTCCGCAGGCGCACGAGCTCCACYGTGGTGCTGTCCGCTGTTGGGAAGATGACCTCGGCCACCTGCGGACAGAAAAGGCCACCCCCAGCTGAGCCCAGCAGGCCTCAGAAGGCAGAGGAGGGGACACTTAGTCCAGGGCCAGCAGCCATAGGGCCAACGAGGCAGGGCCTTCTTCCTCCATCTCTGAACCAGTTCAGAACCGGAGGCAGGGGCCATGGAAGGATGCCCCAACCAGCCTTCTTATTGCCAAAACCGAAGGGCGGGGTGTGGGCAGAGGGAACGCACAGCCTCCCGCTGCAGACGGCAGGGCTGGGCCTCTTCTGCAGGAGGCTGCTCTGGGGGGGAGGGGGCCTGCGTGGAGGGAGCGGTGGGAGAACAAGCCACCAGTGGAGGACTTAGCTCTCACACTCGAGTCACCCGGGTGTTGTCCCTCATCCTGCTCCTGACAGAGGAGGGCCAGGACCAGGGTCAGGGGACAGAAGCTTCCGCAGGCTCTGGCCCCAGCACACACCTGCTCCTCAGAGCCAGGCCTGATGTGCTAGCTGGGCTAGATTCTCAGGGAAGCTGGGCCTCTGGCCTCAGCCTCAGCCTGGCAGGCGCCTGTCAACACTGGGGAGCCAGGCATGGGCAATGAGGACCCAGAGGTGGCCTTTGAATACTGAGTGGAGCAGGTCATCATGAGGGGAGGGGGATGGAGAGGAAGCTGTCCCAGGAAGAGACAGCAAGGCATGGGTGTTCCCTACACTGACTTGGGCAGGGCCCAGGGCAGTACTGAGGGGCCTGGGGGGCTGAGGAAACTCCCCTCAAGGAGTGGCCCCTGCATGAGCTGGGCCTGTGAGATGGCACCACCCCATGAACTCACCCTCTGCCCCTTGGCATATACGCCATAGCCGGTGACGTTCGCCCCATTGGACAGTCCAGTGGGGGTCAGCATCGGCGGCTTCCAGGAGACCTGGATGGTGGATGCCATGGCCCCAGCTTGGACAGTAACATCTTGGGGAGGTGCCGGAGGGCCTGAGAGGAACAGAAGGGAACAGACACTTTCAGGGCACAGCCCTGGTAGAGGCTCACTTCACCTGTCTCACCTGGAAACCAGAACACACCTGGTCAGGTTGGCAGAGAGAGGACAGGTATTGGGGGAAAGGAGGGGAGGACACACAGTTGGGCCTCTGCATCCAGCGGGCAYGGCTCGCCCTTCCTGGGAAGGCCTACAGTCACTTCTGCAGGACCCTCACCTCTGCAGCTGTGCTCAGGGCCTGTGCAAGAGCAGAGCCCAGGAGGGGCTGGAGAGGGGCCAGGGAGGTGTGCGCAGAAGAGGGCGGCTCCCCACCTCCCTTCCTTCTCCTCTCCCTGACCCTCTCCCCCCTCCCCCCTCTCCTCCTGCCCCCAGCAGTCTCTCCCTCCCTCTCCCTCCCTCTCTCTCTTCTCCTCTCTTTCTTTCTCCCTCTCTCTCCCTCCCTCCCTCCCTCTCTCTCCCCTTCCTCTCCCTCTCTCCC